CCCAAACTGGGAATTTGGGGCTGTCCCACCTTGGGGTGGTGGGGGCCCAGCACGATCCAGCCGCAGAAGCAATAACCCAAATAAATGACGGCCACGCAGCAGCAGAAACGCATCACGCTGGGCAGGGCCACGCGCAGGGTGACGATCAGGATCTGGGGGAAAAAAATGGGAAAATGGGAAAAATAAAAATGGGAAAAATGGGAAAAATGGGGATTAGCCACGCGCAGGGTGACGATCAGGATCTGGGGGAAAAACGGGAAAATTGGGAAAAATGGGAAAAATGAAAAATGGGAAAAATGGGGATTAGCCATGTGCAGGGTGACGATCAGGATCTGGGGGAAAAAATGGGAAAAATGGGAAAAATGGGAAAAATGAAAAATGGGGATTAGCCACGTGCAGGGTGACGATCAGGATCTGGGGAAAAAAACAGGGAAAATGGGAAAAATAAAAATGGGAAAAATGGGAAAAATGAGAAATGGGGAAATGGGGAAATGGGGATTAGCCATGTGCAGGGTGACGATCAGGATCTGGGGGAAAAAACGGGAAAATTGGGAAAAATGGGAAAAATGAAAAATGGGAAAAATGGGGATTAGCCATGTGCAGGGTGACCATCAGGATCTGGGGGGAAAATGGGAAAATTGGGAAAAATGGGAAAAATGAAAAATGGGGATTAGCCATGTGCAGGGAGACGATCAGGATCTGGGGGAAAAAATGGGAAAATTGGGAAAAATGGGAAATGGGAAAAATGGGAAAATTGGGAAAAATGGGAAAAATGAAAAATGGGGATTAGCCATGCGCAGGGTGATGATCAGGATCTGGGGGAAAAAACGGGAAAATTGGGAAAAATGGGAAAAATGGGGAAATGGGGATTAGCCACGTGCAGGGTGACGATCAGGATCTGGGGGAAAAAGCAGGGAAAATTGGGAAAAATGGGAAAAATGAAAAATGGGGATTAGCCACGCGCAGGGTGACGATCAGGATCTGGGGGAAAAAATGGGAAAATTGGGAAAAATGAAAAATGGGAAAAATGGGGATTAGCCATGTGCAGGGTGACCATCAGGATCTGGGGGGAAAATGGGAAAATTGGGAAAAATAAAAATGGGAAAAATGGGAAAAATGGGAAAAATGGGAAAAATGGGAAAAATGGGAAAAATGGGGAAATGGGAAAAATGAAAAATGGGGAAATGGGAAAAACAGGGATTAGCCACGTGCAGGGTGACGATCAGAATCTGGGGAGAAAAACAGGGAAAATGGGAAAATGAAAAATGGGAAAATGGGGAAAATGAAAAATGGGGAAAATTAAAAATGGGGAAAATGGGGAAAATAAAAAATGGGAAACATGGGGAAAATGGGAGAAATGGAGAAATGAAAAATGGGAAAAATGGGGAAAATAGGGAAATGGGGATTAGCCACATGCAGGGGGACGATCAGGATCTGGGGAGAAAAACGAGGAAAATGGGAAAATAAAAATGGGAAAATGGGAAAAACGGGATTTGTTATCCAAGTGTGGGCTGGGGAAAATGGGGATTTGGGGTTGGAAAATGTGAATTATCCGAGTAGGGGGCAGGAAAACGAGAATTGTCCCCAAGCGTGACAAGGAGGATTTTTTGGGCATGAAAAATGGGATTTAATCTTGTCCCTGACCCCTGTCCCTGACCCCCAGGTGTCCCCAGGTGTCCCCAGGTGTCCCCAGGTGTCACTCACGTTGTATTTCTGGAAGAAGGTCNAATGGGGATTTGGGGTTGGAAAATGTGAATTATCCGAGTAGGGGGCAGGAAAACGAGAATTGTCCCCAAGCGTGACAAGGAGGATTTTTTGGGCATGAAAAATGGGATTTAATCTTGTCCCTGACCCCTGTCCCTGACCCCCAGGTGTCCCCAGGTGTCCCCAGGTGTCCCCAGGTGTCACTCACGTTGTATTTCTGGAAGAAGGTCAGGTACCGGATGACCCCGACCCACACCAGCAGGGTGGATGTCCCCAGCAGGATGCTGCACACGTCATAGCCCGAGAAATTCTGGGGGGACACGGGGACAGTGCCACCACCGTGTCCCCAGGGTGGTGGCAGTGTCCCCAGGGCTGGCAGTGTCCCCAGGGCAGTGTCCCCAAGGGCTGGCAGTGTCCCCAGGGTGATGGCGGTGTCCCCAGGGCGGTGTCCCCAGGGTGCTGGCAGTGTCCCCAGGGTGGTGACAGTGTCCCCAGGGCAGTGTCCCCAGGGTGGTGTCCCCAGGGTGATGGCAGTGTCCCCAAGGGCTGGCAGTGTCCCCAGGGCAGTGTCCCCAGGGTGGTGACAGTGTCCCCAGGGCGGTGTCAGTGTCCCCAGGGTGGTGGCAGTGTCCCCAAGGGCTGGCAGTGTCCCCAGGGCAGTGTCCCCAGGGTGGTGGCAGTGTCCCCAAGGGCTGGCAGTGTCCCCAGGGCAGTGTCCCCAGGGCAGTGTCCCCAAGGGCTGGCAGTGTCCCCAGGGCAGTGTCCCCAGGGCGGTGGCAGTGTCCCCAAGGGCTGGCAGTGTCCCCAAGGGCTGGCAGTGTCCCCAGGGCAGTGACAGTGTCCCCAGGGCAGTGTCCCCAAGGGCTGGCAGTGTCCCCAAGGGCTGGCAGTGTCCCCAGGGCAGTGTCCCCAGGGCAGTGACAGTGTCCCCAGGGCAGTGTCCCCAGGGCAGTGTCCCCAGGGTGGTGACAGTGTCCCCAAGGGCTGGCAGTGTCCCCAGGGCAGTGTCCCCAAGGGCTGGCAGTGTCCCCAGGGCGGTGTCCCCAAGGTCTGGCAGTGTCCCCAGAGCAGTGACCTTGGCCTC